TAATGATGTAGCTGATGCCCTGAGCCGTAGGGCGGAGACTGCCCCAATTCGAGATATTTGTATGCGGCTGACAGTGATGACTCCGGTGTTGGACACCATTCGGGAGGCCCAGTCAGAGGCCGTGAGACCGGTGAACCGTAAGAGAGAACGGGTGATTGGGCAAGTACATGAGTTTGTTACCCATAGGTGTCGTATGTCGGCGGGGCGTGAACCACTTTGTTGGAGGAGGCGCATAGATCGAGATTCTCGATCCACCCCGGGGCCACTAAGATGTATTTGGATCTGAAGAAAGATTATTGATGGCCCTGTATGAAGAGGGATGTAGCATGGTTTGTTGAGAGGTGCTTGACCTATCGCAGGGTTAAGGCCGAGCACCAGCGTCCGCATGGAAAGTTGCAACCACTTGAAGTTCGCCAATGGAAGTGGGAACAAATTTCTATTGATTTCATCACCAAATTGCCGAGGACCACGAGGGGTTTTGATGCAATTTAGGTGATCATCCACTGGCTAACGAAGAGCGCTCATTTTCTTGCTATCAGTGAGAGCTCTTCTGCGGAGAGGCTGGTAGAGTTGTATGTGAGGGAGGTGGTATCGCAGCATGGAGTGCCGATCTTGATTGTATCAGATCGGGATGTATGTTTCACTTCCAGGTTCTGGAACAAGTTCCACGAGGAGTTGGGAATGAGGCTGCATTTCAGTACCGCTTACCACCCTCAGACGGACGGACAGAGTAATCGAATGATCCAGACGCTCGAGGACATGCTTCGTGCGTATGTGTTGGACTTCGGAGGGAGTTGGGACACGTATTTTCCATTCGTTGAGTTTTCATATAACAACAGTCACCATTCCAGCATTGGTATGCCTCCCTTCGAGTTGTTGTATGGGAGGAGGTGTCAGACTCCCATCTATTGGGGAAAGGTAGGGCAGCAAGTGATAGGCAGCACTGAGATAGTACTTTAGACAACAGAGCGGATACAACAGGTCAGACAGAGGTTGTTGACAGCTCAGAGTCGCTAGAAGAGTTACGCGGATAGGCGGCGATCCGAGCTTGAATTTCAGGTCGGAGACTTCGTACTCCTGAAAATGTCTCCTTGAAAAGGGGTGATTCGATTCAGGAAGAGGGGAAAGCTGGGGCCCCGGTATATTGGTCCATTCAGGGTCACCGCAAGGGTGGGCAGGGTAGCATATCGGTTGGAGCTACCTGCGGAGTTGAGTCAGATACATGATACCTTCCACGTGTCTCAACTGAGGAGGTGTATAGCCGACGAGTCGGCTATGGTACCATTGGAGGATATTCAGGTGGATGCGAGCCTGAATTATGTTGAGAGGCCAGTCGCGGTGGTGGATTGGAAGAGCAAGGTTTTGAGAAACAAGGAAGTTCCACTGGTTCTGGTTTAGTGGCAACATCGAAAAGGATTCGAGCTGACGTGGGAGCCTGAGGCACAGATGCGGAAACTCCATCCAGAGCTGTATGTAGAATGAGACTTCGGGGGTGAAGTCTGTTTCTAGTGGGGGAGAATTGTAACATCCGGATTCCCAGGTATCTTATTTTAAGTATTTATCTTGAGATTTAGGGAGGGACTCGGCGAGTAGGCGCTCACACTTGCCGAGTAGGATCGCGAATTCTGTCTGGATTAATGACCGGACTCGACGAGTCAATGAGTGGACTCGGCGAGTCCGTGTTGTTAAGTGAAACCCTAAATCTCAGGGCCTTAGCCCTATATAAAGGCCCTTATGGCTGTCATTTGCGGCCATTACTCCCCTATGAAAACCATAGAGAGCTTAGAGAGCATTTTGGAGGCTAATTCTTCATCCATTCGTGTGATCTTGCAAGAAGGAGTGGGAAAATCCAAGCTAGATCGATTGTGGGTCTTGGATCTGTATTTTTCACACTGAGATTCACGTTTTAAGGTACAAGTTCCTTCCCATTTCGTGTATTTGATAGATTCTTTGAATCTAGGGTTTCCTTTGTGAAATTTTGAATTAGATTGTGAGGTATATGAGGTCCTTTTGGCTATAGATGGTAGAGTTGGACCTTGAGAGGTCCAAAAGGTCCCAAGCTTCCAGCTTTATGGGGTTTCATGTGAGCCTTGAGAGTAGAACCCCATTTTAATGGTTATTTCTCCATTTTTGGTCTCATAAGCCTTGCATGAACGTAAAGTTTGAACCTTTACATGACTTTCGAGTGTTAGAAGGCTAGATCTACTGGTTGGTGAAGCAGATCTTACCTCAAAGGATCGTTTGAGTGTTTTCATGGGAGGAACTCACCGAGCCCATAAGGGACTCGACGAGTCGATCCGGGTTGCCTCGCGATTCGCGACCTGTGATACCCCGTTGAGTGTAGGGTTGACTCTGCGAGTCGAGTGAGGACCAGGGGCGAAGAGGACATGCATCGACTCGCCGAGTCGTAGGACTGTACTCGACGAGTCTTGTGAAAGTTTGACCGTTAACTTTTGTTGACTTTTAGGGTTTGGTCAACAATTGGACTTGAAGACCATTTGAAGGGTAAGATGGTCTTTTAGCTTTCTTAGAGGACATGGAAGAGACTAGTCTAGTCTATCCTAGAGATTCGTTAATGATTTGAGATAACTGTTTATGTGTTTAGGCAGAGGCTAGATTAGTGTATACGTGTGCGAGATTATCTGAGATAGCCGACGTAAGTCTTCTCACTATATTGTAACTGGAAGGGTACCTATGTGTGATCGGAAGGTCTTATATGCTATGAGATGTATGTGCTATATGCTGATACGTGATATGTATGTGTTATGTATGCTATGGACTGGAAGGTCAAGATGATATGGACCGGAAGGTCAGGAGATTACGGACCCGAAGGTCGATACTGGTAGGACTGAAAGGTCTACCGCGATTTGGGATCGAAGTCCCCTGAGACACTTGGACCGGAAGGTCCCACAGAGTTATGGCCTGGAGAGGCGTATGTGTTGTATGTGGTATTTTGGGGAACTCACTAAGCATTTATGCTTACAGTTGTTGTGTTGGGTGTTTCAGGTACTAGCAAGGATCGTGGGAAGGCGTCAGCATGATCCGTACACACTGAGAGGACTTATGTAGTTGAGATCTTTTGAGATTCTGGGATTTGTTTGTTATGATGACATTAGATACAGTTGTTGGATATTGTTTTTGGTGATTGAAAATATGATTTAAAAATGAAAGTTTGTTTTGAAAATTTACGTTGCTACATCACAATCTACACATTTTTATAGAAATTGTAAATCATTTACACAAATATATACATATTTATTCATACGATCGTTACACCTTCAAGCTTCTTTCAAGTGTTCTTGACTTGGAACTTCTCATCTTCCACCCTTAAGACAACAAGAAATCACTCAAAGTGACTTCATACCCCTACATTTTCATGTTTTCTTCATGTTTTAGGGGGGGGGGGGGGGAATACAAGCTACAACACAAAAACATAATTTAAACATAAACATTAGCTTTCAAAAGAAAAGTTATGGTCTGTTCACTGACTGTTTTGACCATCTTCAACTTAATATTTTTCAAAAATGTTCAATATAAAAATATTTCAGGTTTATACCTTTCTATGGACTACTTGCACGCGATCATACGCTTTTTCTATAATTTATGGTGATTTTTATACAAATGCCAATCTTTTCAGAAATGATTTCGGACCAATCTACGAAGATGAAAAATTTCACACCAGTTTGAGACCTCTAAAAATCAGAATAAAAATTATGAACAAAGTAGAATCATTTTCTAAACTCTTACATTTTATAGATTTGGATTTCAACTTACGATGATTTTTCAATAAATTTTATAAAAACATGAACAGAAAAGTATAACTAGAAAAATAGTTAATAGATTCATTTACACTTTGTAACATGTTGAAGAAAGTGTCTAATAATACAAAGATACATGCTTCATGCTATTTTACTTCCATGAAAAGGTAATAATCACACATATAAGGGTTTTTTCATTTCTACAAAACATCTGTGATAAACTATAATAGGTATAGCATATGAGTCTTTCATACAACGAACTTACATACTATTGCACTAAGTCTGGAAAACAATACAGAAACAAACATGTAAACTATAACAAGCATAGTTTATGGGTCATTTTCACTAAAAAGTTCTATGAAGGTCTACTATTCCACAATAAAAAGTTTTTTTTTTCAGTTCACTTTACGTAAACTTGTTAATGAATAAATTTGTGAGACATTCGGCTTCACGGTACTTTTTAAGTACTGCATTAAAGTCCTATAATTGTAACCAGAGCCTCTTGTAGGGAGAGCGTGCTACTTGTGTATAGATCTATCTTGGGACTGACAATCCCGCACCTAAGCTGCATGGAGCAGCTGGACCGGCAAGTCTGGGGTGACAAATGTCATAACATTTCCGACGCTTGAAGAACGTCGTTACAGGCCAAATGGGTCGTAGCATGGTTATAATAAATCACATGGAGTATTAACAATACATATGGTTTACGGGGTAACAATTACATAAAGAAGTTTTATTTATGTAATACTACATTATACTAT